CCAGATTGTCATAGCAAAGTCAGAATTTCCTCTCCTAGGTTCACGAAACGGTCGTCCATAAAATGCATTGCTGTTCTGTTGTAAGTGATCTTAAAGATTCCTAAATGCATCTACTTTCGGAAGGCCAAATAAAGTGCTTTTGCTTTCGCCTAGAAACACACAGAGTCCCCCTGACATGGCTGCTTCAACACTAACTGCGGTTACTGAAACCACGCCTTCTTTCTTTGCGTGCACATTTGGGCGCATTATGCAAATATTCCCACATAGTGACCTAGATATGTGGGGGCGTGTTAGAACGAGCCGTTTTAGGGGGGTGTGGCAGAGTCTTAACTTTGATAAAGAATATCTCTTTGGTTTTGAGACTTTAGTCTTTGCAACTTCAGGGATCTTATCTATTCACGAACAGCTTGTAACACTCCAAAGAGAAAGGAAAACTTGAAATCGCATCATATGACCCCTTTAAGAAACTGTAAAAATCTTTTTGCTGATACAATCTAAAATTGATTATTTAATTTTATTTTAAAAGCTTTGCACAAAGACATTTGTAGTACTATGAAAAATATATTTACATTTGCCATCACTGGGGCCAACATGCTTTCTTTAAAAAAATGTAAAAATGTTGTTTATACAATCTAAAATTTAGCATTTTTATTTATAATTTATTTATTTTAGTATTTTTTTAATTATAATTTTTTTCAATTGTTATTATTTTAATTATATTTAATTGTATTTTTTAAATGTACATTAGCACAGAGTAAATAATGATAAATATATGTGATCATGGAGCACAAAACCAGTCATAAGTCGCACTGATATATTTGTAGCAATAGCCAACAATACATTGTATGGGTCAAAATTAGCGAGTTTTCTTTTATGCAAAAAAATATTAGGATATTAAGTAAAGATCATGTTCCATGAAGATATTTTGTAAATTTCCTACCATAAATATATCAAAACTTAATTTTTGATTGGTAATATGCATGGCTAAGGATTTCATTTGGACAACTTTAAAGGCGATTTTCTGAATATTTTGATTTTTTTGCACCCTCAGATTCCAGATTTTCAAATAGTTGTATCTCATCCAAATATTGTCCTATCCTAACAAACCATACATCAATGGAAAGCTTATTTATTCAGCTTTCAGTCGATGTATAAACGATGTAAAAAATGAAAATTCAGCTAACACAGGAATAAACTAGATGTTAAAATATATTACAATACAAAACAGGTATCTTCAATTGTAATAATATTTCACAGCACTGTTTTTAATGTTTTTTTTTTTCCGATCGTTTCCATAAAGGTTTTCACATAGATTTACTAGTGCATTTTTCTTCAACTGGGAAAACGTCTAAAACAAAGGCATTGTTTTGTGCTGCCAAATCCTTTTGATTTCTAGTTTCTTCCATGTCATTTGAGTCATTCTGTCGCACTCCTCATGCCATCATCATCTGTCCTTCCAGCTCTAAATTCCTGCTAATGCTCAGAGACGGCCGGGCGTCTGTGCACTCTATGATCTCCAGACGAGTGACTATCGCTGGCTTCAACCTGTCCAGCTACAAGGACTGTCTGACTAAATGGAGCAATGCAATCGAAGTCATGCTCTCCCAGTGTATGGCGGTCGGCCGGAGTCGCTGTATGACCGTCCGCTATGAGGATCTGGTGCTGCAGCCGCGAGCCACCATGCAGCGTGTGCTACACTTTCTGAACTCACCTTGGCATGAAGGAGTGCTTCATCATGAGGAGGCCATCGGGCAGCCAGGAGGGGTATCGCTGTCTCGGTAGGGCGAAATCATATTTAAAGGGATAGTTCAATTCTGTCATTGTTTACACACCCCCTGTATGGGTTTCTTTCTTCTGTTGAACATAAACAATTATATTTTGAAGAATCTTGGTAGCCAAACAATTGACGGTACCCATTGACTTCCATAGTATTCATATAAGTCAATGGGTACCATGAACTGTTTGGTTACCAACATTCTTCAGAATATCTTCTTTTGTTTTCAACAGCTGAAAGAAATTCATACAGTTTTGGGACAACTTGAGGGAGATTAAACGATGACAGCATTTTCATTTTTGGGTGAACTGTCCATTTAATGTTTTGGGTTGCAGGCCTTCTATCCTTTTCTGATGATCCTCACTTTGTTTTTAAGAACCGAACGCTCCACGGATCAAGTGATCAAACCAGTTAACCTGGAAGCCCTCGCACGCTGGGTAGGCCACATCCCAGCAGATGTCCAGCAGAACATGGAGAGCATTGCGCCAATGCTGCGCAGGCTGGGATACAACCCCAATGCCAATCCACCAGATTATGGTCAACCAGATCCGGAAGTGATCAACAATACTCAAAGGGTATATTCGAACACAGAACACAGTGCAGCTCAAGGATCAGAGTTGCTATTATTCAGTCATAATTTCCATTTGTCTGTCTTTCCTAGGTACTGCGAGGAGATTTTAAAACTCCCACGAGCCTGAAAAGATGGGCGCAAGTGAGTGCATGCTTTTAAGTTGTATCATATACAAAACCGGTTGAACACGATCTACTACATGCCTTCTGTCATCAAAAGTTTATATTTGTTTAGCAAGTAAAAGGCCTTTTCTAAAAACCTCCCCCAACTGCACCAAATTGCATATTTTTGCTCAGTTTGGGCCTGTTTCTTCTTTCTCAAGTATGAGCTCCATGTTCTTCTATATCATACTATATGAGCCATAAAATCCTGATGTATCGAATATGATACTCAACAAAAAGTGAATATGCACATTTTCTTTAAATATTAAATATTTGTCTAAAGGTTCAATAAACTGTTCCTTAAAAAAAATATATAGTGATTTGAGTGATTTCTGGTTGTTGTCATTGCAAAAATGGCAGAAGTTGGTTTAAGAAATATTTATTTATGTATGCAACTTGATTTGGTGTTTTGTTATCTAATTAAATGACATTATATGTCCCAATACTTTCTGTGGGCACTGTGTAAGTCTATATACTATGATTAGGCTGCATATATGTCCTTACACACATTAATTTTGAAAATATTAATTGTTTGACAGGTATCTCCAAAGTCAGTTTCTAAAGGAGGCCGAAACTGAAGAGAGTCCTACATTGATTGCAGTATGTGCTCGTGTTCAGCCTTGGATAATTCACCACCATTTTGTGCCATGAAGGCCTTTCACAAGATACAGAGCAACCTGAGTAGGAAATAATGAGCATCGTTATTATGCAATAGCTGTGGTTACATGGGGTCTGATTTTGACATAGCCAGAATCTATTATAATAATTAGGCAACTAAATCCTATTATGTACCAAAATGTTGTAATGTAATAGATTGATGTCAAAGAAACAAGCCTCACACGGACACTGGACAGAGATCGACATTTTTACTACCTGATGCTCTCAGAAGAGTATTGTTTACTTTGTTTATCGAACAAAGTTTACCATAAATCAATTACACTGGACTTTCTGAACATTGCAGTTTTTTATGTCTTGTTTTGGGAAATGAGAGCGTGACGTAGCGCTCAGTGTCGCACTGAATGCTGTTGCTATGTGCCTGCGTGCATTTTCTTGACCTAGATATTAAATTGAGCCATTTTTCTTTTCCGAGTGCCAAAACGCCCTGTTTTCCCTCGGGTTTTTTTTTTTTTTTTAAAGTGAATTCTTCCAATAAAAATATTCATACAAATTCGGCCAGTGTGTTATTTTCAATCCTTGTGGTCTATTTGTTTTTATCTCGAAACATTTAATCAGAGCCGACCCTGTGCAGTGCATCATATCACTCCGCCTGTCCCCAAACCCCCACGAACACATACAATAAACATAAATATCTGTTTTACGTCCACAAAACTAATTTATAAAATGCGCATTTGTATATCTTCAACATAACACATATGCTGGTGCTTGCCACAAAACCAGGTTTTCAAATTGAATGTCTGCAATTGTTTAAATAGTGCGTTGGGCGTAGCGGCGGAAGGATACAGCGCGTTCTGTATAAATAGCCGGAGCTTTTGTTTTGAGCTCTTAGATTCGCTCCCGTGACGAGAAGAAAGAGACTCACGCATTCCGCACTCTTCCAGAAAAGAACATTTGTTTGTAAGTATGAAGTAAAATATACACAAACGACGCCAGTTATATCGCTACTTAAAAACAACACTATTTTATTTGGATTGAAGCGTTTGTGGAGTTATATAAACGTGTATCTTTGAATGGGCTAACTCGTTAGCTTTTAATGCTAGCAGGCCTGGTCGTTTCTGTGGACTAAATTCGTCCGTTTTTGTAGCTTAATGTGGCTGAATATTAAAATACTAAACATCGGTGTGTTTTCTGTATGTTTTGTGCGCGTTAGGTAATTTTGGCAGGCAATTATGTTATTCCGCGAAACAGTGCGGTGAGGTCGGTGAATCGCAATTCATCTGCGTATTATCTTTCAACGATCTCTGTCAGCAGTCGACACGTCGTTAAACATTTACCTGCTCGTAATATAACTAATTAATTGTCATGTATCTGTGGTTATTAACGTTTTGTTCCGTTGTTATTGTTTCTGGCCATTTTCTGAGGTAAAACATCGCCATTTTGTTTTCAATCGCCCATTTGTTACGCCCAGCCTCACGGCTGTGTCGGCCATCAGTTTGCTGTTATACCTCCTTTTGTTTTGCTTTCTTTTGAAGAAATTTCTAGAAAATTCTTAGGTTTGTCTAACAATACTAAATTAACCTGTACTCGTTAGGTTTTCACCAATGCAGCACATACGTTTGAAGTTAATGAATTTGAATATCTTTGTTTTTAGCGTAAAGATGCAGATCTTTGTGAAGACGCTGACTGGCAAGACCATCACCCTCGAGGTTGAGCCCAGCGACACCATTGAGAATGTGAAAGCTAAAATCCAAGACAAGGAAGGCATTCCTCCTGACCAGCAGCGTCTGATCTTCGCTGGCAAGCAGCTGGAAGATGGACGCACCCTGTCCGACTACAACATCCAGAAGGAGTCCACTCTCCACCTGGTGCTCCGCCTCAGGGGAGGCATGCAGATCTTCGTCAAGACGCTGACTGGCAAGACCATCACCCTCGAGGTTGAGCCCAGCGACACCATTGAGAACGTCAAGGCCAAGATCCAGGATAAGGAAGGCATTCCTCCTGACCAGCAGCGTCTGATCTTCGCTGGCAAGCAGCTGGAAGATGGACGCACCCTGTCCGACTACAACATCCAGAAGGAGTCCACTCTCCACCTGGTGCTCCGTCTGAGAGGTGGTATGCAGATCTTCGTGAAGACCTTGACTGGCAAGACCATCACCCTCGAGGTTGAGCCCAGCGACACCATTGAGAACGTCAAGGCCAAGATCCAGGATAAGGAAGGCATTCCTCCTGACCAGCAGCGTTTGATCTTCGCCGGCAAACAGTTGGAAGATGGACGCACTCTGTCCGACTACAACATCCAGAAAGAGTCCACCCTCCATCTTGTCCTGCGTTGTGAAGACCTTGACTGGTAAAACCATCACCCTCGAGGTTGAGCCCAGCGACACCATAGAGAACGTCAAGGCCAAGATCCAGGACAAGGAAGGCATTCCTCCTGACCAGCAGCGTCTGATCTTTGCTGGTAAGCAGCTGGAAGATGGACGCACCCTGTCCGACTACAACATCCAGAAGGAGTCCACTCTCCACCTGGTGCTCCGTCTGAGAGGTGGTATGCAGATCTTCGTCAAGACGCTGACTGGCAAGACCATCACTTTGGAAGTTGAGCCCAGTGACACCATTGAGAACGTCAAGGCCAAGATCCAGGACAAGGAAGGCATTCCTCCTGATCAGCAGCGTCTGATCTTCGCTGGCAAGCAGCTGGAGGATGGACGCACCCTGTCTGACTACAACATCCAGAAGGAGTCCACTCTCCACCTGGTGCTCCGTCTGAGAGGTGGTATGCAGATCTTCGTGAAGACCTTGACTGGCAAGACCATCACCCTCGAGGTTGAGCCCAGCGACACCATTGAGAATGTCAAAGCTAAAATCCAAGACAAGGAAGGCATTCCTCCTGACCAGCAGCGTCTGATCTTCGCTGGTAAGCAGCTGGAAGATGGACGCACCCTGTCCGACTACAACATCCAGAAGGAGTCCACCCTCCATCTCGTCCTGCGTCTTCGTGGCGGCAATTAATCTGCTCATGTTTAATATACAAGTCTTGAAAGTTATCAGACCAATTCCAATTTCCTTTGTTCCTCTTAATCATTGAATAAAGTTCTGGCATTCCTGACTATCGTTTCCTGCCTCATCTCTGAAATCATTCACAAAATGGTCACTTAAACATTAGTTTTTAAGTTTAAAGTTAAAATGTTTACGTTGAGGGGCTTTTAAAATATTGGTTTATGTATACAAGTAGTTTAATGGTTTTTGAAGTCTAAATTGTAAACTTGAGTGGAATTCTCATGTTTTATTTAATTTGGTAGTTGCGTTTCAATAAGTTTGAGTGGAAATGTTAACATTTAAAATCAAATTAAAATGAATAGTTGAAGTAATGCTAAACTTGTGTAGTGTAGAGACCATATTTAGTCGAAAAATACTAGTAAACTTTGCAAACAATTGCAAAAGCAGTAACGTGAAATTAAAGTAGAAAAATTGAATTTTTAAACTAGTACTCCCATTTGCAACTGGAAAATAATTTCTAGCATATTGCGGTGTCCTACAGATTGCAGTTATTAAACAAGCCTCTAGATGTCACCACAGGCTTGTGAAAAGGTTGCAGCCATTGTGGACCCTTTAAATACTCTAAATTTTGGTGTGGCTCTCTTGTAAACGTCTTCTGTCTGACCCTTGAGTCATGGTAAATGCAGGTTCCTTACGTCTTAAAGTCCTTTTCAACTCCTGATGGCCTTTAAGTACTTTGTTAATCTGGGCTGCTTGAGGGCAACTGTTTAATGGTTTAACTACATTGTAAAATATCACCCTTTAGAGAAATTGAGAATTGTCTATATTGCACGAGAATTTTTTTTAGCTTGCAGTAGGCTATATTGTTATGGTGTTGGGCGTAGATAAACATCTTTGTTTTGCCACTTTTCAGTCCGTTTCTTCAGGCATCAGATGTTTTTCATTGAAATTGACCAGCAGTACTGCCTGGAGACGGTGCGTCTTGAGCAACCTTAGGTTGTGTGTTGCTTAAAGATACAAATCAACCTTTGTGTTAGGTCAACCGTCGCTGAATTCTGCTGCTCAACTCCAGACTATCACAACGTCTCGACTACTGCATTGTCGTTTCTGTTTACAAAAGCACAGACAAAGCATCCGATATCTGCAGGAATCAGTCCAGCTGGGTCTAACAAAAATACCTATGGTTTTCTGAAAACATCGCTGCACGAAATGATAAACAAGCCAAGAGCTAAAAAACCCATACCTATATAAAGCTGTTGATGTTGGCTTATTAAATGAGAAATGAGAGTTCAACATAGTTACTGAAGAACTGCTAGAGGCGCTGTAAATACTTTTTGTGATGTTTAAAATGTGAGATTCATCTGGTTTTAACCTGCTGTGCTGACATTAATAAGCCTTTTAATTAAAACTTTGAAATGGACCTGCCTAATGAGTATATATCATAGTGTGACTGGAATTAAATTGTTTCTAAATTTAACACGGTCAGCATATAAGGTTAGTTGAATAGTTTCTGCTGCGTCACAGTGTGTATATATATATATATGAGTTATCAGTGGCAAATACTTATCCAATAAAGATACAATAACACTTCTTCCAGCAGCTCTGTTTGATCATGCTGCTTTAACATAATATGCCATGTTTTAATGACAGTTTAACAGTACAAAAATAACTGCTTTTTGCAAGCTTTTGCATTGGAACTTATATTTGTACCAAACTTTTTATTCATATAAAAGAAAATCTAATTACTTATTCAAATGACAAATTACTGTATTGACAGCATAAACACAACATATGCAAATTTATTAACATGAATAGGATGATGTTCTAAATGCATAAACAACAGAAAATTAAATACGGATTAATTTCAATACAGTTTTTCGATGCACAGCATTTGACATCAACAACCATATGAATGTGAGGCCTTTTTATTTCCTTTTTAGCTGATAAATCTGTTTATTGTGCTGTTCTATAGTTGTATTTATATTATTTGCATTTCATTTTTTTCTGCTGCCATGCATTTTTTTCTATCTATCTATCTATCTATCTATCTATCTATCTATCTATCTATCGTCTATCTATCCATCTATCTATGTCTGTCTGTCTGTCTATCTATCTATCCATCCGTCTGTCTGTCTGTCTGTCTGTCTGTCTGTCTGTCTGTCTGTCTATCTGTCTGTCTGTCTGTCTGTCTGTCTGTCTGTCTGTCTATCCATCTGTATGTATGTATGTCTGTCTGTCTGTCTGTCTGTCTATCTGTCTATCTGTATGTATGTCTGTCTGTCTGTCTGTCTGTCTATCTGTCTGTCTGTCTGTCTGTCTGTCTATCTGTCTGTCTGTCTGTCTGTCTGTCTATCTGTCTATCTATCAGGAGTCCAAATACGTTTGGGGCCACTGTATGCATGTACATATTGTGTGCTTCTTGTAAACATTACTTTTAAATGCTGCCTAATAAATAAAATGAATTAGTGGATTAGATTTTCCAAATAGGCTAGTCTCTTATCCTTCATTGTGGGAGGCGTGTGTAACTACATTACCCAGAAGTCTCTGGCATATAGGTGGCGCTTTGAGCGCCGTAAACATGGTAAAACAGCAAGAGCGCTATAAAACCTGCAGGATTAGAGAGCCGGACTTTACCATCACTCACAGCTGTAATGTACACGATCATAAAGTCAGCAGAGCATTAATAACTCAATGGCCAGAGTTTTATGGCTTTATCTTGTAGAAGTGATAGTGTGTTCAGCCGTCACGCTTTGAGTTCCCTGCGCTTTCCAGAAGAAATCACTTTATTCTCAAAGCTCTGCGTGTGTTTGTGAAGTGAACTGTGTGGGAAATGCGGATGGCGGTGTCTAAATCTACATTATCGATCGTTTTTATAGTTCTGGGAGGTTTGGCGGTTTTATTCGGGACTGTGCTGGTGTTTGTCGGACCTATTATAATAGACGATCAAATAGTGAAGGTAAGAATACATCTGACAGGTGCAAGAGACGCACTAATTAAACATATTTGCATATTTAAATAACATAAAGTTACAAAAACACGTGATTCAGTGTCGATAAGCCTCGAACTGAGCTTGATATGACTTTCTTGCCTTAAAAACATAAATAGGAACTACCATTAAGTTATTAAATCATATAGCATAACTTTATTATATTAATAATAGACTACAAGTTTAGATAGTTGTGGTAGTCGTAGTTTGTGCGTAATCAACCAAATTGCCACGCTGTTAATGACGCCTTTGTTTTAATTCCTTTACTGTGAATTTATTGTTATTTTTAATTGATGTGTTGTTTTGAATTTTTTAATAATGTATTGTATGTGATGATGCTGAAAATTCAGCTTTGCATCACAAGAATAAATTACATTTTTCAAATCTATTAACCTAGAAAACGGTTCTTTGAAATTCTAATAATGTTTACGCAATATTGCTGCTTTTACTGTAACTTGATCAAATAAATGCAGTCTTGGTGAACATTTCAAAAACATTTCAGAAGACTTCAACTGAGATATAAATTCAAGACTAAAATTTCTGTATATCTGTAAGAGACTTTTTTTTTTTTTTTTGTGGTGTGACATACTTTAAAAAAAATACAGATATTCCATGTTGTCCCTCATAAAAGCCATAAATCTGCATTTAATAATTAAATATAAAGATGAGGTTTTAAGTTAAGCTGTTTTAAATACAGCATACCACATTTGGCCACTAACCACATGGACATCATATCTTTACAGAATGTAGAGATTAACCCAAACAATGGACTCTCCTACACTATGTGGAAGGACATCCCGGTTCCCTTCTTTATGTCTGTATATTTCTTTCATATTGTCAATCCTGATGAAATCCTAAAAGGAGAAAAGCCCACGGTGGTACAGAGGGGGCCGTATGTGTACCGGTAAGAATTGTGTTCCCTCTTTCTGTAAAACTACTTTAAACCAGTTAAAATGTATTTTGAAATGTTCAGTATGAATCACTTGATTGGACGTGACTGGACATACAATATAATGTTTGTGGATGTTCAGCCCTGTGACACTGAAGTTCATGGTAGGTTAGCCTGTGGGCCCCAGACAGGTTTGCATGTGCATTCGGTCAGTTGTCCAAACAGGACCATCATGCAGTCTGTTTTTTTCTTCCCTTTAGGATATAAATTGTCCATCCTGGAGTGATTTGTAGCGATATAACTTTACACAAGACTTGGGGGTTAATTAACTGGTCAATATGAATCTAAAAGCATTCCTCTTGTCCATATAACCTGCCCTAACATGATGTAATGTAACGTAAGGGCCTCTTTCTTGGACTCAAGTGACCTTTCGTACAAAGAGGTTTGTCTGCAGTATGCTCTGGATCTGGGTCTGTTTAGTGGCCTTAACCTTACCTGAAGGGCTGAAAAAATATGTAAAAAAAAAAATGCATATAGAAATATTTTTCTTGACAAAGATCTAGGAATAGACAAACTAAATCTTATTTTTAATTTGAACAAGGATATGCATTTGTGTTGGGATTTTTACATTTACAAGACACTGTTGCAGTATTTTCCACAGTCGTGACTTCTACGAGCCAGGACGCAAGGATTTTTTAGTGTGGATTCACTTATTGTTATCCTTTTTCTATTCTTTTATTTTCTTTATCTCTAATCTGAATCTGTGCAGTTTTTATTAAAGAGGAACTGTGATCCTACCCTCGAGTTATGCATACTAGAGTTTGACTGAGTAAAAACAGACAGTGCTGGAACTGAATGAGAATGAGGAAGCTCCATATCCAGGATTAAAATAATAAGATTTATCATAAGATCATTTTGGAAACCCAAATTTTCAGCACAACATACTCTTTATTTTATTTTAGTTTTTATGTTTTGTTTTATTTTTTGCACAACATTGTATTTTTCTAATATTTTGTTTTATAAATCTCAGTAGTGCTTTTTAACTTAAAGAATTTAGAATTAAAATATGAAGATCATTTTGAAAATATCATTTTGAAAACCCAAATTTATTAGCACAACATATTTTTTGTTTTATTTTAAGTAGCACAGCATATTTTATTTTATATTATATTTTATATCAGTAGTGCCTTTCAACTTATAAAAATTAAGAATTCAATTAATTAACAAATTCCTCATAAGATCATTTTGAAAACCCAAATTTATTAGCACAACATTTTATTTAATTATTTTATTTGCTATGCTTCATTTTATTTTATTTTTAATAATATTTTATTTTATAAATATCAGTAGTGCCTTTTAACTTCTTAGAATTCAGAATTAAAATAAGAAAATTCCTCATAAGATCATTTTAATAAATCCAAATTCATTAGCACAACATATTTTTTATTTAATTCTTTTTATGTTGCACAACATTTTATTTTATATAATATGTTATTTTATAAATATCATTAGACTTTTAACTTGTATGAAATCAGAATTAAAATAGGAAGATTCCTCATAAGATCATTTTGTAAATGCAAATTTATTAGCTCAACATATATTTTATTTTATTTGATGTTGCATAGCGTATTTAATATATTTATTTATATCAAATCTGAGTCTATAAATATAAGTAGTGCCTTTTTATCTTTTAAGATTTCTTATAAGATTCCAAATTAATTAGCGCAACATTTTTATTTTATTTTATTTTTGAACAACATATTATTTAATTTCCATATCAGTCGTGTCTTTTAATGTCTAAGTTGTATTTCATGTATGTAGTATACGTCTGTTGGCATGTTGTTTGGAGAGTAGTTGTTTTAGATCAGATCATTTTGTGGTTTTAACATTGGTTGTTTTATGTGCGTTCCTTTCCTCCATCATGACTGAGTGGCTTCTTTTTTTTTTTTAGACAAGGCACATGACAAATGTTTGTGGTAGTGACTTACCTTTGAACAAATCATGCACTTGCATTTTGCAATCCGAGCGGGGGGCCGCGAGTCTTTTTGTGTGACTTTCTAACATGCTGACCGAGAACCTCAAAGTGGTTCCTCAAAAAGCTGAATTTTGCTGTGTTAGGATAATATTGCTGCAAATCAGCTGGCTAAGTCACATTTCTCTGTTGTCGTGACTCATATCTGTTTCAGTGAAAACCGTTGGAAGGACAACATCACATTCCATGACAACCACACCGTCTCGTATAAAGAATTTCGGCAGTATTTCTTTGAGGAGAGCATGTCTGTGGGAGATGAATCTGACGTGGTCACCATCCCTAACATGCTAGTGCTGGTGAGAATTCACGCCCGTGTATTGAGCTCACCATGAAAAGCAATTGAAAGAACTGTAACACGTTGGTTTTTCATTCACGGTTGCAGGGTGCATCAGTAATGATGGAGAATATGCCATTTCCTGTACGCTTGCTGCTCAGCACCACGTTCAAGACCTTCAACGAGGGACCTTTCTTGACAAAACCAGTTGGAGAACTCATGTGGGGTTACGACAGCAAGTTGGTGGACTTCCTGAACAAATACCTCCCTGGAATGCTCCCAACCAGTGGGAAGTTTGGCTTATTTGCTGAGGTGGGTGTTTTCTGTGTCTTGTCACTGGAGCTTTGTCAGCAGTGATGATTAGTTTTGTGGGTTTTAGCCTCATTGATTTCCTTGCTTTGTTTTGCTCCATATATAGTTTAACAACTCCAACACTGGACAGTTCACTGTCTTCACTGGCCAAGACAACATCCGGAAAGTTCATATGGTGGACTCTTGGAATGGCCTGAAAAGTGTAAGCCAAATGTCATTTGAGACCATAATAAAACAAAAAACACAAGTTCCGTTCCAAAACACTAGTTAGCTGCATACTAGGGCCTGAAACTGCATGAACTTCACACCTTGCATTATTAAAATGTGCATATATTGCATTGCCAAAAGGGTTATAGTCAACAGTAGGGCTGGGTAAAAAATATCCATATCTCGATATTAATCGATTCTCATTTTTACGGAACGATATCGGTTCTTAAATTCCAAGAATCGATTAGTCTAGTCTGTTTTCAGTTAATGGACGGAACATTGAAGGGCACTTCCCATCCAATATATAGCAATAAGCATTGTGCTTTGGTACTTTTAATATGAAACAAAGTCTCAGATTTCAAATTCTGTCCATTGTATTGCAATATTCAAACAATAAATGCCGTTTTGGCGCTGTTTAATGTGGAGTGACAGATCGCTGTAGTGCCTCAGATCAACAGACGCGGTAGAACTGATCGTCTCCTCCACATTAATACCAGTTTCAGCACAAAATAAACATGACTAAACATCCGAAGGTAAGTTAAAAGAAAGAGTACGACTTTACAATCTGTATCCTGTCTCATGTAATCTCTCAATCAGTGTTTCAGCCGCGCAAAGACGTCAATAGCCTATAACGGCTTGTAAACAATGTCAGGTAACGTCACATTTACCTCAGAAAAACATATTCGGTGACCATAAACTCATTAGTCAGATAGAAAAATAAACTGTAGAGAGGGGCATTTTGCTAAATATATGTACCATATAACATATTCATTATACATTTTACCGTTCTTCAATGTTTAATTTATGTTTGAATAAATCCATCAAGTTTTTATGACAGCCACCATT